TCAATTTTCCTAGCCAAGTATTGTCACAGGAGCAGTAACTCCGAGAGAAAAACACCTGTTATTAGAGTATTGGACATCTGAAGGTATCCGAGCTAAATAAATATATTTCTCCTTAGGAAAAATGGTCTTTTAAACATAATTATGTCCTTATGTTGTACTTGTTTATTTCTTGATTATGTACAAAGTGCTGGCCATTCATATAACGGAACACAGTTCGCAATTCACTATATGCAATTCAAAAGTGAACTGCATTCTAGAAATTCAAAATTTTTCAATCCATTTAACAATTAACAAGACAAAATCAGAAACATTACTAATACTTATGGTCACCTACCAATGTCCTCTGACGTACGCATATATACCTCTATTTATAAAAATGGGTAATATGACTACATTTACTTAAGCACATATACTCAACGTATAGTTTTGAGCTTTATTTACTTATTCGCCGCATACTTTAAGAGTTTAAATAATAGAAGGACCTTTGTGTGACTTTTATAATGCCTGATGGTGTTGTACACCTCTTCTAAATCAAAGTATGAGGAAATACCAGCTAAAACTATGTTTTTGTTAATTTTCATTTGAAAAACACAAAGATATTTATCATTTGATATCTCTACAAAACCCTTGGAAATATCTGCTGATTTTTTGTCCACAAACTTCTGATGGTACTCTGATTTTGAATTAAGAATATCATGGAAAATTATCATTAGTGGGTCTGGTACGTTGTAAGGTACATACATGTATACATATATGTATTTTTATGACCGGGTGATTGACCATAGGTAGACAAAACGAAAATTTTATTGATTAATAGATATATGTCGACAGGACAGTGTTATCATTTATTTCGTAACCAATAAATATTGACATTACAGTTTGTTAAATGAACAGCAAAAATAATGGATTCATAAAATTCCTCTCAAGAAATCCGCCATTCAGAAGTTTCTGGACAATCCTGGATGAACTTCAAAACGAGGCCTTAAAAAATGAAAAAAGACATTATGTTAGATAAATAAATATTTATTCTGGTCATGTATCAACAGTCCTGTAGTAGTCTGTACCCAAAGTAGTCCGACAACTTCTATCTTAAATGTATATCATATTTCTTATGGTCAAACTGAGCAACAAACAAAATCCGGAACCCCCCGGCAAATCAGCATATTCAATTCCAATAATGATGCAACTAGCCTAACCAAAGCCGTATTGAGGACCAGTGCATTGTGAAATTTGACGGAGAGTTTGCTGAGCTTCCCTCGGCTAATATTTCCATTTTGTCACATTCCGACAAAAGAAAATAAATTAGGTGTGTTTGGCAATGTAAAGATTGAAATCCCAGGACAGAGCGGGATTATCCGGCATTCATTACGCTTAATGAGGGGAACTGAGGCTTGCCTGGTCCTGTGGAGTACAGCTAAGGCAATAATACAGATCCCCTGCCAGCACTAGGTAGAAAAGTCATATTTGGTGGGAAATGTAAATTCAAAAGAAAATTATTCGATGTAAAATCAATTAAAATTCGCTTGATTTCAACTGATACAATATCAAATTCCAAAGTTTATAAGACGATTCCCTAGGATGTGTGAGCTCTATTGTGCAAAAGTGACTCGTTTTGATTTCAAGGCACTAGTTGACATGAACATGGACGTAGGTCCCGTTTCGCTTTGGCTTGGTACAGTCCATTCTGTCCCGTAGTTCACTGCATGCTAACTCAGAGAAAAAGTATCAAGAAGCAGGATTTTCGTGCGAACAAAGAATTTATCATATCCGGTGTTTTTCTGAGTCACAAAATTTAATTCATTAAAAGATCAGATTCATGAACCTAATTTAGTGACTAACAATGTAAAAGGTGTATAATTCCACAGAGTACTAAAAAGAACAAAGAGGTGCAATGCATCAAGTTTAATAAAATACAAAGTCAGTCTCGGAGCCCTGTCGTGATTCATTTTTAAAATAAATATTATTACTTCACGCATTTAACAAAAGATTGTTATTAAAGGGCAATTTAACATCGATCTCTGGTTTAAAAGCGGTTTATAAATGATATCTGTAACAAATCCACCAAAAAAGCTTTTAAATCTACTCCAGGGTCCAGCTAGGTCTTTATAGAATGTCCAGCGAAACAGACGCCAGAGCGTTCCCGTGGCCGTTCTCGCGCCAAGCTCTACCATCGTCTGCTTGTCTGTAATGGGAAAGGCAGGTCTGAGATCGAATCACGTTTAATAATAAATTTGATAGAGTTGTGCATTAAGTATAAAAATGTTTGGTTCTTAAAAGATGCCTCAATTGTATCCATAGCATTTCATGATTTTTCTAAATGTATTCTTTATGTTGACAGGAAGTTGCAGACAATTTAATTTTAATATCTGATTGAAGTCGGGATTATTTGTCTGTTCTGTTCAGAAACGTTGTCATATATTTCGTCCCCACAATAATTTCATACGATGCCAGTGAAGATACGAGTGAATGGAACATAATAAAACCGTCTTTAATAGTGACACACATTATAGCCGAAGTAGTTTATTTTTTCTTTGGCGACTGCAATTTGAAAAATATATGTACATGTAGGTACATATATGTAATGAAAGGAGGCCCAATCCATTTTGCAGTTTTTATTTAAGTTTATAGAAATATATAACTTTGAAAGAGAGCACAATCTCACTATTGTTTATAATTTTGATCAGAGGAAATGTATAACTAACTTCGCACTAAATACAGTGAAACTTCTCTAAACCGGCCCCTGAAAACCGGTTCTCTCTTAATATCGGCCAAATTTGTAAGTACCGGCAAATTTTTTTTAGATTTCTTTACAAATAAATTCTCATAAAACCGACCACCCCCTGAAAACCGAACACCGGTCACTTTTTCAAGAACAAAAGGTAAGAAACAAAGATAATCTCCCCTCATTATACCGGCCACTTTTTAATTGTAAGAAATACAGTCAAACCTCGTTATCTCGAACTCGAAGGGACCAAAAGAATACTTCGAGATATCCAGGGTAAACTACTTAAAGAATTCATAATGACTTCGACATATCCATGGTATTCGAGATATACGTGTTCGAGATACCGAAGTTCAACTGTATAACTGTCATTGGCCAGCGGGGTATATATTGGAAAGGGAGATATAAAGGCCCTCCCCCTGAATTAAGAGTATGTTCTCAATGTGAAATGCAGAAGGTTGGGGATGAACATCATTTTTTGTTTGTTTGTCCAAAATATAACACTGAAAGGTTACCATTAATGGAAATATTTCATCAATTCAAATTTCTTGAAAAATAAAATTAAAGAAGTTTTATGTTTGCTTGGAAATTTCATTTTTGAAAACAACAAAATAACTTATGAATAAATACATGTATTATCGTGTACATGCATGTTTTAGAAATTTATTTTGAGATTCAAATGAAATCCAAATGCATCAATACGTACATGTATTCACATTTACATGTAGCATTGCATGTATGTACTATCAAAGCATCATGAGTAGTTTGATTATAGTTATATGCAAATATGCATTATGATTGTTTTCTTTTGTGATAATGTTTAAATTTTACTTTTATGTATTACAATGCCTTCCGGGGCCCTTGATTGGTCAACAGAATATCTTGTGTCTTGTATACGAAAAATGATGTGTTCTTAAATTAGAAAAACAAAACGTGAAACGAAAAGTTTTCACTTTAATAAAGCTTTAAACAGCAATAAAATAATGTTTTTTTGTTCTTTGATAAAATTTATTTGTATCATATAAATGTGTACATAAGTTTATCTAGATCATTTTCAACATAGGGTACCTGCCATATTTCTCCAGGAAAAATCTTCAAATACGATTTAGTTGTCTTTGACAAATGACAATGAATTTCAAGATGGGGATCATGCTGTAGATCACTATATTTTCGCGACACCTTATTTTCGTGAGAAAGCTATTTGGTATTTATTAGCGAGACAAAATTTCTGCGAGCTATGTTTTGTGTTGTATATAATCCTAAACAATACAAATGTACGCGAGAATAAAATTTTCGCGAGCAGACTCGCGTAATTACGCGAAAATAAAGTTCTCGTGAATAAAAAGTGATTTACAGTACACCCATTACTTTATCTTGATCTTACAATTATCACGTTAAAAATAATATACTTCAAACTTTGTCATTTACTGTAGATTTTCCATATATATTTTTATTTGTGTATTTTACTTTTACGTTCCTTCGAGATTTTTTCGCTCATATACCACCAACTGCCGGTGGAAGACTTGTACTCGGCACTTATAGCCATAGAACGGTCAGGAATATTTATCGTACCAGCTCGACACGAGACCTCAGCATCCGAAAGACCCATTTTAAAGCCACGTTCTGCAGAGGATTCGAACCCGCAACGTAAGGATCTTCATGTACTCCTTACTTCTGGAATCTAACCACTGCGCCACGCAGGCGACAATACTAGTAGCTTCTTCCGGTTTCACGACCACTTGATCTAAACAAGAAACCCCAAAATCTTTGTGTCCAGGGTATCGATCTCTAACTATCGCTGACAGAACTGGGCCTCCAGCACTTACTAGTTACTTATCACGCAGAGCACCGACAGCGACATATATACCTGGTTATCTCATTAGCGCTGATATTCGGTGACAATCGATATACTTAGACCTACATATCTACCTGTTTTAAGATTCGCAGGGTAACCACACGTATATAAAACGGGACTATTTCTAGTTAGTACAGACTTGTGAGGCTTGGTCCCGTTAGCTTCGGGGTTCAAATAAATATACAGATCTTGTAGTATTAGTACTGTTATAATTCAACCAACATTAATAAAGCACGCTTTAGAAAGATTTTAAACAAAGAACATTTTTAAGTCTTTTACAAGAGAAAGGACTCCGTTGCAAAAGTAACAGGAAGATTTTTTTTTTTTGAAATGAATATTTTTTGCATCACAATGTCACCAGGAAACACTTCGAAGCAGGAATTCTGAAATTACAGCTATCGTGTTCTCAGGGAAAACTCTTCCTTATATGGCTGGGCGTATTCGGGATTAACACAATAATATTTGCCCACATTTGGCTGTGATTCACTTAATTTACACGTGTGCATGAATTTGACCTCTTTGTAAATCACTCCTCCTAAGCTCCAAGAAAAACAAGGTCCGATATTGAGTATCATGGCGGAGATTTGAGATTTTTATTATCTTTTATCAAGATTTTCCGCGGCGATAATCCCGGCTAATAATGAATCTACCAAGATACAGTAGATGGTTCGCCCAGTAGATATACAGTGTACGACAAAGAGGCGATTGTTCACCAATAAAAACATTCAGTTCTGGTGGAAATCTAGGCCCACTTTATTATTTTTTTCTTTTTTACACAAGCAGGGCACACTTACGTGAAAAGAAAAGCTATACATTGCTTTATTGCCGCGGGACACATAAGTATACATAAATCTCGGCTTTAAAGTTTGTAATTTCGCTCGATGTTAGGATAGGAACAGACTTGCACAAGAGTAGGGACATCATTGGCTACGGTACAAATTTGTAAGGTCATTTGGAGCCCTGACCCGTTAGATATAGCTATGTTGCGCTGATTTATGGCTAATCTTACGAACTCGCGTGCCAGACAGCTAATCAGAGAGACCTTCGCGTGACGAAGTTATTCGTCGGTGGGACCAACTCGTGTCAGTGTTAGAAAACACATCAAACCCAACAGGCATGGTTTTTACAGTGACAACAATTAATTAATCAGGGATTTATTCATTATGGCACCTACGGAATCTAAAGATGAAGTGAAGAAAGATGTCGTTCATAGTTCCACAGGCTCACCGAAACGGAGGGTATGGGTTATCTTACTTTAAAAGTATATGATATATATATTATTATATATATATAATATTATCAAAAATGACAGGTATAATTATACATTCTGTTCCTACTTATTTACCTCCATTTCCCTTTTTTTGACAAGCAGTCATTGTTTTGTTCATATTTAAAAATAGTATATGTGTGCTTCATAGCACCTGTATATTTTTTATTTTTTTACCTACGGTGAATTTAATTTTTTTTAATGAAAGAGAACATTAACTTATGATCAAAATTTTTAATCACTTCTCTGAAATTATTTTACTTATGCAGACCCACTATAAAAATATTATCAAAAGATAAAATCTCAATTTTTCATCAGAAGATTCAGATCTTTTTTTTATATATTTTCTAACAATGTCTTTATATTATTTACTTAATGAACTGAATTCTTTATTCATGGAAACCTGGGTCGTGATTTACCGTACCCTGTGGCGTAGGTACCCCCGATATTATGACATCATGTAGCACGAGACAGTCGCGAGTTTAAGGGGTTTTTTCTACAGAGAGGCTAAGAAAGTTTTTAAGACAGGAACAATGGAATTCCGGAGTATTATTCTGCTCAATCACGGACTGTATATGACATTGCGTTACTAATCCTAAACGATAGCTCTAATCCCCGAGGTTAAGATCAATGGATACCATTACAGATTTAGGATTAAGACTGAAGATTCAGGACATGAAAAACAGAAAAAAGTAAACGTAATTTCAAGTCGATCATACCCTGTTGCCTGTCGAGCAATGTTAAAAGAATAAAACATAATCCTATAAATGCCAGATATTTTTCTAAATGATGTTATACATGACACTTTTAATCGTTACATTGAGATGCCAACATTGACGATCTAGGTATTTTTTCTGTCTAATACAGTGTAAAAATTCTCCTTTTCCAGGTGAACAAACCGATGATAGAAAGAAGGAGGAGAGAAAGAATAAACGAATGTTTGAACCAACTTCAAACTCTGATAGCTCAGTTGGATAAAGAAAAACCTAAGGTAAATACAGAGCCGACAAAAGAAATGAGACTACACAGTCCATTAAGGTCCCTACCTCTCCTTACATGATGAGAGGGCTGATAAGGTTAATGACACACGGGTTGTACTAATTGATGATGCTACCGGACCTAACTCTTCAGGCGATACATTGTTCATTCTTTATCTTTTTTTCTCCATGAAATAACAGTAACTTTCCCCCCGTATATAAAGTAACTGATTGCATTACCTTATAAGATTGTCAATAAAACTAGCTTTTGTGTTCGTGAGATATAGCCGAGATAAATCACAAGTAAAATAGACATAATTCCATATATATAAGTACAAGTATTTGTTCACCTTGTTGAATGAACATGCTTTGTATTGTTCTGTGAAACATTTCCTCTGGACGTAATGGTGTTATGGTCCGTATATAGCCTGTTTATGTGCAGATGTGCATGTCTATAGGTCAGTGTAAAAGAACAATGGTTATAGCCTAATTAAACTAATCAGAAAAGGAAAAAAATGACAGAGTTGTCTTAACAAGCAAGATGTTAATTTTTGGGGGGGAAATGGTGTTTTATATTAGCTAAAGAGGTCGAAAAATATGTTCTGGCTTGTCGAGGCAGACCTCACAAAAAACGAAATTAAGTGGCTTGTACCCGATAAATTATCTATAGCCCTGATCCACAAGGTTTACACAAGCGGAGATTTTGTGTCAGACATCTGTATTAAGACTTGTCAGAGCACGAAACAGATTTCATTAAAGCTAAGTAAGAAAGATATATTTAGCTATTTAAATTCGAGTTGATAAAAGTAAACATTTTTACGTGCACTCGTCAAAGAGAAGTGAGCGGGCCCTAACATGTGACGGATTGCTCGTCCGCAATCAAATTTATTATCATTTCTGTTCAACAGAAAACGGAAAATTGCATATCTGTTGAGACTCTGTTTGTTTCTATGGTTTGAGGGTTGACGTAAAGCCGTACACAGACTGTTGTTGTGATATTCTTTAGAAATTTTCAAATTTTGATTTTTGATGAACGTGGTGGATTTGATGGGAAATTGATTTTACACAGAGAAAATGAGAAACTTTTCGTCCTTTTAATATATTCTTTTCCAGCATGTCTCAACACTGGTGCAATTTAATAACGACACTTAGAATATTGAATATTTGTTTAACTTTGAGATAAATCATTTCTTGTTGATTTTCTATGATTGATTCTTTCATCTCATTCAAACTTGAGTCAGTTATAAAAATATGTCGCCGACTCTTTAACGGTAAAAGGCATGCTGCACAATGTGCAAAAGGTAATAATAGGGCATTCATATTTTGACAGTTAAAAAAGTCTTCTGATATTCAAAGTAATATTATAGTTAACCACCTAATCAAAAGGAATTACCAAATTCCGAGAAAAAAAGGGGGGAATTGAATAAAAATTTAAACTGAGAACGAGAATTATACCACTATGGAAATTCCAATAAAATTTGCATTTTAAAAAATTGGACAGCGTACCTGAATTAACTTTAGGGAGAAAACAGCTACCCCTCCCTGGGTAGTGAGTTTGATAAATACTTTTAATCGCGTGCAATGAATCCTGGTAATTGGATTTGGCAGGAATTAAGCTTTTCATTTTATGCAAATTTATAACACTATGGTAGATTTACTTCTCTTTTACCCCCTTCTTCCAAACTTTATTGACATCTAATATTCCAAATTAAAAACCTACTGAGGTGTAGGAAAACGAGAATTTTCAAATTTCACTCGTACAAGCGAAAGCTTTATGTGATTTGATGAGATTCATTTTACATGAGAAAATCGCAATAATGAATTACATTCCCACATATAATGTGTACTAAGACCAGTTCAAAACATACAGCATTGGAAATAAATTGTTTGTATGATGGTATTGATGTGCTAAAATCATGCAGAAAGTTTTGTGGAAAGTGAAGCGGTTTTAAATGGCGTCTCTTGAAATATCAAACAATACGAAAAGGATCTTAATCTTCGAGCATATGTTCCTTGATTTGAAAATTAATTTAATCTTTATTATTCTGTTTCTAGTAGGGTTAATATTTTGTAAATTTACTACTTAATATTCATATTTTTTTAATATGAAAAAATTCCAACAATAAAATTATCCGAATAGTAGATTGTACAAAGAAATAAACGATAAATTTATTGGGGAAAACAGGCGCGAATATTACAATAGTTGCAGTTGGTAAATATCGATTTCTTAATTTTCTTTCTTTTTTAGTATGTTTTTGTTTGTTTTGAAGTTATTGTGTGAGTGTGTTTTATGAATACTATTTTTGCGTTATTTGTTCTATTGTCATGAAATGTATATAATTTCAGATTGGAAAGTCAAATAAGTTAGAGAAAGCTGACATTTTGGAAATGACTGTAGACTTTGTAAAGCGATCCCAGCCAGTTCTCAAAGAAGGTAAAAATATAATGCACTTTGACCCTTATAGACACTGGAACCTTATTAAGCTAAAAAGTGTATGAAATTCTTTTAAATATTTTCAAAAACTGTATTACATGTATTTCTATATTCATGTTGTAGAGAATGAAAAGAGAGAGAGTCCAGCAGATAGTGTGCAATACCAGGCAGGGTATGAGAAATGTCGGATCGAGATCCAAACCTTTCTACAAACCTCGGAAAACGTCCCCGAGGAAGTGAAAGCGGCATTACTGAAACAGCTACAAAATAGTCCTAAACACCAATCATCACAACCGACTGAAACCAATCCGCGAATCCAAGATCTGAATCCTAAAAGTAGTGCGCCTACTTCCTTTGCCAGTATTCTTCCGCGAGCACAAAGCGCCACTGTTGCAGTTGCAGCTTCGTCAGCATCCTGCCAGACGACAAGTCAGATTCCAGGAAATAAAAATTTTTTCATATGTAATCCCAGTGCTCCGACATACGTCCTCGTTCCGACGGCTACACTGTGTCAGTCCATACCTGTGAACTCTCAGGTGACCCAAACAAACGATTCACCTTTAAACTTGGTGAAACCACCAAGAAACGGAAGTGAAATAGTCCCAAATTCCTCACATCAGACTTCGGCAATGCAGCTTGGATCTGTTGTTAATGGAAACCAGTTTGTAGTAATTCCACAAGGACACATTTCGCAAGTTTCAAACTTAATGACGTCACCAGTTGTTGGGGGACAGCCCAACGTTTTACCGGCAAATGCGGTGCAAAACTTACAAGGCAACTTCCTGTGTATGCCCAATGTGCAGATTCCGTTTTCGGCCCCTCAGTCCGATCAAGACGTTTGGCGTCCGTGGTGAAGATTTTGTTTTACTTTGTGGGATATCAATTCGCTTTCCAAGAATAATTTCCTTTTAAACTCTTTTTTTCAAAATTAAGTGCAGATGTTTAATATAAGTGCGTTTAATTTTTCTTTCGTATTTTCCTTCACGTTTTTATATTTTTTTTTATTTTCTTAGTCGTTATAGCAAACATTCTATTGGTGTTTTTGTGTTGTTGCTTAATACGTACAGTACGCTTAAAATAAATTTGAGTGTTTCAGCAGTTGTACTGTGCAGGGGCAATAAATACATGTAGTTCCTGTTTAAAGCTTGTAAACAGTCTTCCTAGATGAGTATTTGTGATATAACGGAAAATCATTCCATAAATTATTTTATATAATTTGTTATTATTTCTTTGTTAAAATTTTTATACATGAAATCATGTTTTTCTCAAATTTAATTTAAAGGTGCTGATTAAAGAATTATTCGCAATCTTGTGTTCTTTACTTCAACAATTTATGACTACTTGCCTACGTGGGACAATTTTGTTGGAGGAAAAAACATGTGGTAGATAAATGCTTTGTGTGCTTTGTTAAACATCATTAATAGCTTATTTATCACTATAATCCCCCTAAGTTTTGCACCCCTATTGTAAACGTTGACATAAGCTATCTCAGTTTTGAAATCTTTATACTAATTCCTAGTCTTTAAATAGAAGTGTAAATGAATTTGATGCTAATGTCACAAATATTTCAAAAAATTTTGCATACACTGTGAAATTGATACAGAAAAGGCGGGACCTTTGTGAAACGATAACTGCTGGTATTCTGTACAATCTGTGTTATCCTGCGTTCCCCTGTGACCTGGGGTGTAGATATAAATAATAATTTTATGATGTATTTTATGCATCAGTGCTGATACAGATGTTATCTTTAAATTTCTGTCACCTCATAAGGTCTTTATTTACTGAATGTGTCAGGGGTTTACTTGAAATGCGCGATGCTCAAAGAAACAGAATGATGTCGCAAGAAAAGATCGCTATCTTCACCGGAAGATGATATTTTGTGTGCGAACATTAAACTTTTCAGATCTTACAAAGATAGGAAAGAAAAAGATGTATGTGAAAATGATTATAAGATGAAAATATTTTATGACGGTGACACGATATTAGCTTCGTCAAGTAGCGAACGGAAATGCCCACGTGTGCAAACTTTCAATTTCCCTCTCTTAATGGTACCCATGTTTAAGCTCATTTAATCCAGCACAAAATTCATTACACACGAAATGGTGTTATTCGGTTTGTAAGGAAATGTTAAATTGATTTAATGAAATCTAAATAACTCCGAGACGTAACAAAGGTGTCGCGGACATTTGACTGGCGGGATTTTGATACAACATTGAATAAACTCATCAAAGAAAACGGACCCGCAACCTTTGTAAATTGTCCGGAATTGTCGAACCGCAAGGTGCGTGAAATTATCTTCATTACAGTTGTAAAATCGCAATCCTCGAAAGTAATGGTAATTAAATATTCTTTGCTGCTTCAACACTTTAACGAATAACTATCAGTAACAGGCAAATTCAAAGAATTGTGGGGTCCCCCGCTTTTGGTGTCTTAGTGGTTTGGATGCAGTGATTTTATGGTATATTTTACCTGTCTTCAGTGTTTGTGTGTCCTTTAAATTTATAGATCAAGGTCATGAAGTCAAAAATTTATATACCATTATGAGAGGTGTTGTCAAAAGTAATGTATATATTATGTAAAATATGAAAGCCTATCTTCTCTCATTAAAAAGTTCTTACCAATGTAAAAAAAAATTGAAAAAGACTTCAGGTTAAACTTAAAGGTCAAGGTCACGAGGTCAAAAACCAGAGTACATTCGGAAAGGTTTTGAAACGGGTCATGCACATGACATATAATTGCCTGATCTTCTCCCATTCAAAAGAATCAGCAATGTTAAAACTTTAGATATTAGTTTAAACTTCAAGGTCAACGTCACAGGGTCAAAAATTAAAATATATATGAAAAAGTCTTGTCACAGGTAATGCACACGTCAAATATATATGCCCTATCTCCACTCCTTAAAAAGTTAGAAACAATAATTTTTTTTTGGAAAATTAGGTCAAACTTAAAGGTCAAGGTCACGGGGTCAAATATCATAGCAGATTCAAAACCTTCTTGACACAATGCACTTGTCAAATATGAACAACCTATCTTGTCTTATTCAAAACTTATAACCAATGTAAACATTTTTCAAAATTAGGTAAAACTTTAAGGTCAAAGTCACGGGATCAAAAAGCATAGTATATATGGGAACGTCTTTTCACGGGTATTGTACATTTCAAATACGAATAATCTATCTTCTCTCATTCAAAAGTTATAACCAATGTTAAAAATTTTTAAAAGTAGGTCAAGCTTCAAGGTCAAGGTAACGGGGTAAAAAATCATGGTACATTTTGAAAGGTCTTGTCACAGGTAATGTACATATGAAATATGAAAGCCTTCAAGATAGTTTAATATAATATTATGATAATATTAAAATTTTTGAAAAGTAGGTCAAACTTCAAGGCCCAGGTCACATGATCAAAAATCATAGTACATTTGGAATGGTCTTGTCACAGGTAATGTACAAGTGAAACTATAATCTTTTCTCATTAAAAAATTATGACCAAGGTTGAAGATTTTGTGTAAGACAGACGGACAGACGAATGAGTTTTAATGTCTCCTCACTTTCGCGAAAGCGGGGGACAATTATTATTAGTTGCATTTTATTATCGTCGTAGTACTCGATAATGGCCCAACATTCCTCGAGCTCGTTAAAAAAAGAGAAACAGATATGAGCTGATAAACATCATTTGGTATGAACTCTCTTCCATTTTGAATTGATTGGGGTCACTTTCTGGGCATCTTGGAATATTTCTGGTGCAGTCTGTTCATTTTGGAACATCGAAAACTTCTATTTGTTGTTGTAATGTGAAGACAACTAGCCACTCGCATTCTCGTAATGCTCCAAAGGATAATGGATGAATAAATAAATTCAGAATTCGAAACAGAAGAAGGTGCTGTACATATATATTATGTCATCGTTTTAGTATTCTTGAGGCGTTTGGGGAGAATCGAAATGTGTTCAGCAATGCCTTTGAACGGGTCTAATGTTCAATTTGCCTCGTGTCCTAAGTGAAAATGGGAACAGCGTACAAAACAAAACCAAGAAAAATAGAAATATGGGATATGACATTTTATTTATATACAAAATATATAGATTAATTTTGGGTGAAGTTTTATTCATTAGTGCGCGTTCTTTATATGCACGTGAGCGTGAACATGAGCATTCTAATCAAACTTGTTGGAGACATAAGACCATGAATATATTTTCTTATAGCAAAAATGTTACGGGAATGCATTTGAAAAATCTCGTACAATTAAGATTGCGTGACATTGCTATAAAGTTGCAAGTAACCCATTACATAAACAAGACCTATTCAAGAAGAGACTTTGCGACGCGTGGTGTTGCGTGTTGAGTTCTTTGGCAGGGTATTTTTTTAATACTCTGTCGTATACCACCATGTAGGATATGGCTATTTCGAGGGCAATGAATCAGGAATCTTTTTCGGGTTAATCTAAAATTAATTTAAAGAATAACCGACGTCAACTCTTGTAACCATCAGCTTTATTCTAGAGGTAAAAATTGGCTTAATACTAGTATATGGACAAGTTTGAAAAACCAGTTTAGCATCTTCTCAAGTCAAAGATTTTCGGACCGCTTCGCTTCCCGCAAAGCAAAACCCTTGGTTTGCCAAGATGCCAGTTTGAGTGAGAGAGGAGGGTGGGTGGATAAACTAGGTTTGTAATCTGGTTTCCATCTAAGGGCAAGTATCCAAGAGAATTAAAAGGACAATCTAGACTCTAGGTCAGGATGGACTTGGGCTCCAATTTGGAAAACGCTGGCTTCTATTTCTAGAGTAATTCTTGAGTCAATTTCGAAGTCTCTTTGTCTCTCCAGGTTACTAGTATTTTCTATAATTTGTCTCCTTAATTTATGTGGTATTATTAATTGAAGATTTACACGAATGGTTTTCGAAAGTAAATCTGCATCAAAATGCTAGTTCTAGAGAGTATTTTTAACTTTTCATCATCTACAAAATCACCGTTCGAAGTGCTTGACTTAGTGATCCACAATTCCGGGATGATCATTCAAGCTAGACAATCGTAAAATACTTTGTTATTGTCTTTGTGGTCCGAGTATGGAACAAATCACGACGAAGACTTATCTGTATAAATAATAAAACATAATTATGTTAGATAACCCCTAACAACTCTTGTGCAAATGTTTAGTTGTCAAAGCAAAAACAATATAGGACGTCCCCCCTCCCCCCCCCCCCCCAAAAAAAAAAACCTATCTGAACAGAAAATATTTTGTCTTTTCAAAAAAAAAAAAAAAAGAAAGAAAAAGAAAAAAGAAATCACAAACGCCTAAGATCGGAGTGCATGTACATAGAATATATTCTGAAACATAATTATTGTTGTAATGGCAGTGCAGTCTTAAAATTGATGGTTTGCATTGACAAAATAATTTCTTTGATAGATTGAATATGATAGCAGCTTAGCAATCTACGAATTAAAAATGAATATATTACCCATGTATCTTTGTACGCGTTACTTCCATGAGTGATCACGTATTTTTTTTAAACTGCAGTATTACGTGGATGTGTCATTAGGTTACTTAATTATTGTGACCAATACTTTACCGTTAAAGAATTATCGAGGCAAATGCAAGCTGTACATCACCTTTGCTTATTTGTATTTACCAGTATTTTAGAAATTAAAAAAAAAAAATGAAAAAAACAAACAAACACACAATCAACAAGCATTCTGAGAGTATTGCATTAGCAATACTAGTCCCCTACCGGCAAGTGTAATCTGGTTCCCGTTAAAGATTGAAAATGCCATAATTCCGTTAAAATCATTGAAGCGGAACGAAATGCAAACTTGCTGTATAAGTAATCAAGGTTAAGTCACATACCAAAAATCAGCTCAATATCTGCAAGCGTTTAAAAAAAAATCGCGGAAAACCCTGAAAAATTGAAAAGGTCGTAATTCCGTCAAAAATCAATGAAGCGGAACGAAATGCAAACTTGATCTGTAACTCATCAAGATACACTCACATGCCAAAAATCAGCTCAATATCTGCAAGCGTTTAGGAAAAAAGTGCGGAAAACCAAGTGGGACAGACTGAAAAACAGACAGAGGGACAGACCGACAGACGGATGGACAGACTCAGGTTTCACCGGTAGGGGACTAAAAACTAGAAATATGTCCATAGGACATCTATGGACATAAATACCCCTTCAAGGGTTCATTAGTATTAATGCAACATGAAAATTTGTATTAGTGTATGAAGTTTGATGAAAATTTCTTGAATATAGTTTCTTTAAAACTAAGTTTTATACACAATAAATAG